ATAATAATTTTTTACGGTTCATAATTTTTTACGGTTCATAATATGGTGAAGATGAAGCAAGTGTTTCCTCCATGATCTTCACCAAACTCTTGACCATGATCTCCATTTTTATTTCAATTGCTTAATTATGACTCTGCCTTCATGAACCGTAAAAAATTGGTGAAGATGAAGCTACTGTTTCCTCCATGATCTTCACCAAACTCTTGACCATGATCTCCATGACTGTTACTCTTACTGAAGTAACAGTAGAAGATAACCAGAGACAGTGAAGTCAGCCCCACAGGCAATGGAGATATGATTCAACTTCTACAAAAACAAAGACTGTAAGCTACAGATTTCATACCATCAGAACGGTAAGGCACAAGCAGAAATAGATCATACCCTTTTTGGTTGAACCCAAACCCAACTGCCCATGCTTATTCCAGCCAAAAGCAAGGGACTGACCCTCATCACTAACCACTACCATGTGGTTCCTCCCTGCTCCAGCTTTCACAATTTTGTACCTTTTGATAGAAACAGGACAAGAAGAAAGAAAAGCTCAATGCCCAACAACAATCAGAATCAATCTCATTCAAACCCTTCCAAACTAGCAAGGAAACAGAAACTCACTTTGAGAATCCTGACACAACCGTTGGCCTATCATACGTTGAATCATATCTCCATGACCTAATTGACCTTTCTGAACACAAAAGCAAAAGTTTCCAGAATCCAAAATCAGTCAGTTTCATTTCCAAAGATGCTTATATATCTAAGTAAGACAGTGCAAAACAAAGTAAAACGAAAGCTGAATCAGAACATACGTTATTGCGTCCCCAGGTATAGCAACGACCTTCAACGTCCAATGCCACACAATGACACGAAGCTACAAAGATAAATTACACAGAGAGATACAGTAAAAGGAGTGTTCGAATCCTCCATTAATCACAGATCCGGAATATATATAATAAACTCTAAGGGAAATGAAAAGTTATTACCGCAACCTGAAGCGACGAATCAAATGTTGATGTCGACGAGTGGCCTTAAACGAGTAGGAGAAACCAAGTTACCATCGATCCCACCGTTGCGCCGTCCAATGATATCCCAAGCCGTAGCACCACAGAACAACAACTCACCTCCTTTCTCCTCTGAGCTCTCTTCCTTCTTCTCCGACCTCACTTTGGCGTTGGGCAAAATCGAAAAATCAAAAAGGCTTTGATTTTCCAAAACCAAAATTGGATCCAAAGACGAAAAGATCGTAGAGATGATCAAAGAGATCTCTCTGT